TTGAAGGGGCCGAAAATTACAATTATTTTTTTTACGAGTTAAACTTGGCCAAATATTTTTTATTCCGAAATAAAAGTACTTTCCCAAGGCACACTGAACGGGTAGTATCAGTAGATCAGCTGATTTGATTTTTATTGTTATTTTTTCAAATTATTTGGTCTCGAAAATATAAAATTTTAAAAATTTTTTATCACAAAAATTTTAAATTGTTAAAATCTATTTGCATGTGAAACCTTTTTCCATACAAAACAAGCGATTGAATAACAGCTTTTGGAACGTTCGCCCAACTCAGCAGCACAACCGCTGATTACTGGGCCTTGCAAAGGATGGATCGATGCTTCTAGAAGCAAACAAATTTACTAAGAAATAAAGTTGCAAAATGTTTTATTTTTTTAACAACTTCAATTTTTTAATATTTTTTTTTATTTCACATGGCGCGCTTTGATTTAGAACAAAAACTAGAACAGTTTTTGACAATTTCGATACCAGAAGCAACAACAAAATACACGCAGACAGTGGCGTAGCCAGGGGGGGAATTGGGGTGATAGATCTCCCCCTTCGTCAGTGAAATGAAACTTTTTATTTTTTAATTAATAACACAATACTATTTTACCGTTCCGATTTATAATTTTCGTATTTCAGACTGATGACAAATTATCTTTTAATGAATATATAAAATTATCGGTTGGTAGATTATGTATTTGAATATTTGCGAAATACACTAGGCCATTTTGCTTAGTTTCCCACAGTGTTGGGAAATAATCTATAATCTATACAAAAACTGTACTTTTCGACTGTAAATTGTATCGACTTTTTAATTTGCTCATATGCATGCATGCATACATAGATTCCCTTCAAGACCAATGATTTGATGGTATTCACGGGAAAGTTTATGTAGGTACATTTACATATTTTACACTTTTAACATAAATGTCAAGGCAGATATTTTAAGATACACTTCTTAACAAACAAATTTTTTTAAGTTATTATGAATGGATAAAAGAGACATCTTCTTTGAATTCAGTACTAAAACTTGACATTTCAAGTGTTTATCAAAACTTTATACGTGTTAACTAGATTGGCCATTTATCTTAAAATTATATAATTTTAATTATTTGTTTATAAAAATGCAGTTTACACTTTAACAAAATCCGTATAAATCCAAAGTGAAACCTTTTTCCATACAAAATAAGCGATTGAATAACAGCTTTTGGAACGTTCGCCCAACTCAGCAGCACAACCGCTGATTACTGGGCCTTGTAAAGGATGGATCGATGCTTCTAGAAGCAAACAAATTTACTAAGAAATAAAGTTTCAACATTTTTTTATTTTTTTTTAACAATTTCAATTTATTTTTAATATTTTTTTTATTTCACATGGCGCGCTTTGATTTAGAAGAAAAATTCAGAACAGTTTTTGACATTTTCGATACCAGTAGCAACAACAAAATACACGCAAATATTGTTTTTGCTCTAATGCTACTACCTGTTTGATATGCCTTGCACTTTCCGGATAATAAACAAACCGCTTATTCAAATTAAACCAGTTTGGTATGCAATGAAAGAGGACTTAAATAGCTTTACAACTGAAATGTCTAAAAGAGGAAAGCCACACATTGAAAATTTCAATAAAAAATTTTAATTAATTACCATAGAACAAACATTGGGTTAGGTATGTATTTACATGAATAGTTTTAGCATTAAGTTATAAAAAAATATAAATAGAGGTGGTAGCCTTTATTCGTTATTTCTGTTTAAAAGCTATTTCAGTCATCTTTCATATGATACCAAATTTGTTTAATTTGGATACGCTGTTTCCTATCTGGATAGGACGTTTATTTCGCAATAAAAATATTAGGCCAAATTTAACTCGAAAAAATAACTGTTATTTTCGGTGCCCGGAATATTTTGCAAGTGCACAGACGTATATCTAACCAGTCACAGAAGAAAGTATTAAAAATGAGTTACAAAAACTAAAAAACGAAAAACGCTGATGACGTGACAAATTCCGCGGGATTTTTTGCCCCTTATTCTAATTACCTTAAACGAGCAATTTTTATGTATATGTATATGTATTCATAAGTTTCTCGGCAACGGCTCTAACGTAGCAAAATGAAAAATTGTTTAAAAAAGACTTTCGAAGTTGTATTTCTTCCAATTGTCAAAAACTTTTTATTTGTCACGGGGCAAATACCGTAAAAATTATTTGTATCGTGCGAATCTTTTTCTTCTGTTTTGGCGCTGTAACCGCCTAAGCGATTTTGGCCGAGTTCAGCAAAGCACGCCAGTCGTTTCTCCTCTGTGCCAACTGACGCCAATTGGAAACGTCAAGTGAAGTCAAGTCCTTCTCCACCTGATCTTTCCATCGCAGTGGGTGGCCTCTCTCTTCCCCTGCTACCACCAGCGGGTTCGGAGTTGAATACTTTCAGAACTGGAGCGTCGGTGTCCATTCGAACGACATGACCAAGCCAGCGGAGCCGCTGTATTTTAATTCGATGCACTATGTCCATATCGTGGTAAAGCTCATACAGTTCATCGTTCCATCGTCTGCGGTACTCGCCGTCGCCAACGCTTAAAGGCCCGTAAATCTTCCGCAAAATCTTTCTCTCAAACACTCCAAGAGCCGCCTCATCGGATGTTGTCATTGTCCATGCTTCTGCGCCATATACCAGCACGGGCATGATGAGTGACTTATAGAGCGTGGTTTTGGTACGTCGAGAGAGGACTTTACTCCTGAATTGGCTACTCAGTCCAAAGTAGCACTTGTTGGTTCCCAAGTAAACGAAATTCTCTACTTTCTCGAAATTGTAACTGTCAACAGTGACGTGGGTGCCAAGGCGCGAATGTGCTGACTGTTTGTTTGATGATAGGAGATACTTCGTCTTATCCTCGTTTACCACCAGACCCATTCGCTTTGCTTCCCTATCCAACTTGGAAAAGGCAGAACAGACTTCGCGGTTTTTGTTACCGATGATGTCGATGTCATCGGCATACGCCAGCAATTGCACGCTCTTGTAGTAAATTGTTCCTGAGCGGTTCAGTTCTGCAGCTCTTATTATCTTCTCCAACATCAGATTAAAGAAGTCACATGAAAGGGAGTCGCCCTGTCTGAAACCCCGTTTTGTGGCGAACGGGTCGGAGAGGTCTTTCCCAATTCTGACGGAGCTGGTGGTATTGCTCAACGTCATTTTACACAGCCGTATGAGTTTTGAGGGGATGCCAAATTCAGACATAGCGGTGTATGGGCAACTCCTTTTAGTGCTGTCAAAAGCGGCTTTAAAGTCGACAAATAGGTGGTGAGTGTCGGGTCTTTTCCAAGATTTGGCGTATTGTGAATACCTGGTCTATGGTGGATTTGCCAGGTCTAAAGCCACACTGATAAGGCCCAATCAGTTCATTGACGGTGGGCTTCAGTCTTTCACACAATACGCTCGATAAGACCTTGTAACCTATGCTTAGAAGGCTGATCCCGCGGTAGTTGGCGCGAATGGCGGGGTCACCTTTCTTGTGGATTGGGCAGAGCACACTTAAATTCCAGTCGTCGGGCATGCGTTCATCTGACCATATTCTGCACAAGAGTTGATGCATGCACCTTATCAACTCCTCGCCGCCGTACTTGAATAGCTCAGCTGGCAGTCGTCAGCTGCAGCGGCTTTGTTGTTTTTCAGCCGCGTTATTGCTATACGTACGTCGTCATAGTCAGGCGGTGGAACGTCGACTTCGTCATCATCGACTGCGGGCTCGGGTTCTTCTCCGCAACTTTCCGTGCTGCTACCATTTAGCAGGGCGGAAAAGTGTTCCCTCCATAATTTAAGTACGCTCTGGACATCAGTTACTAGGTCGCCATTATTGCTCTAACAGGAGTACGCCCCGGTCTTTAAACCTTCCGTAAGTCGCCTAATTCTCTGGTAAAATTTTCGGGCATTCTTCCTGTCGGCTAGCATTTCAAGCTCTTCACACTCACGTATTTCGGCCTCTCTTCTTATTGCGGCAAATACGTCTCGCTTCCCTCTTCAGATCGCTATGTATCGTGCGAATATCTATAGAAATTATCAGGGTTTGAAAAACTGTTAGCACAGCGGCAACAGCCAAGCATTTGCTTTTTTATAAATTGTTGTTGCTTTGCTAGCCGGCAATTACAAGTACCTGATGAAGATCTTGCAGAAGCATTGAGCTTAGCCGACGACGCTTTAAAGGAATTTGAAGAAATGCGACAAGATGCAGAAAAAAACTTTCATTTGCTTTTCGAACACGTAGAAGAAGTATGCAACCAACCGAAAAAAAAACTGAAGAATTGTTTGCTTTCTCTGAAAAAGTAATCGACTGCTCGAAACAAAACTTTGTTCTGGAGGTAAAAATGTGGAAAAAATGAGTTTCACGCGAACATTTTCGAAATGCTCTCGAAGTATTACAAGTAGCTAATACAACGTCTTTTGGGAATGTTTTTAAGATCTTACGTATATTGGCACTTTTGCCCGTTTCAATAGCCACACCTGAACGAAGCTTTTCATGCCTGAAAAGAATTGAAACCTACTTGGGAAATACAACATGTCAAGAAAGGCTCAACGGTGTAGCATCTACGAATATTCTTTTTTCTTTGGGATGTGTAAAAACGTACACGAAAATATGGAACCGCGGATGTAATCTATCATTTTGAAGAAATGGTGGGCATGGAAAGAGGATAAAACTTCTTTAGTGCTGTTTCGTTCCCATTTTTCTTCATTTTGATTGCTGTTTTTCTTCAATTAAGAGAAGTTTTTTTTTGGGTGTACTAGACTCAGTAGCCGACAGTCGGTAGCCAGTTGCCGTACATTATGCGAATTTTAGTAAATGTTTGCACATCGGCTATCAGTCGCCATACATAATAGGGCCACAAGTAAAAAGAAATTAAATTGTCAAAACTTGTCAATAAGTCGCGCTGCTATTTTAGCGAACACTACTGTACATACTTTTTGATAGTGAAATACATTCGTTAAACATTATTCCCCTTGGTTTTTGTAGCACTCTTTTAAGACAGAAGATGATGCTGGGCCATCAGACGAAATTTGTAAATCTGAAAGCGAATCTGAAATGGACGATGAAGAATATGACTATATTGGGGATACTGAACAAAAAAGATCCGAAAGAAAATTTGTAATTGAGTTAATTAAGGTCTACCAATCTTTGCCACCACTCTGGGATATAACCAACAAGGATTATCATAATCGCGCAGTAAAAAATAAAAAATACGATATATTACTCGCGAAATATAGGGAAAGGTATCCAGATGCTGATCGAGACGATGTTAAGAGAAGGATAAATAGCCTTCGGTCAAACTTCCGCAGAGAATCAAAACGAGAAACAACAAACCTATTTTATTACGATGCAATGAGTTTTCTACTAAGCAATTATGAGGTAAGTTTAAATCCAAGCTAAGCAATTTTCAGCTCAATTAATTCGTAAAAAAAAAAATTTTTTGTTGGGCGGAAAAGATGTCTTTTGGTCTAAAAATAAGCTGTGCAAAATTTTATTCCAATATGATAACACTAAGTACTTGCACGTTGAATTTGAAAATTTAGAAAACCATACATGTGGACTTTTGACAAAACATCTTCTTTGCTTTCTGTAGGTTGGAATTTAGAGTTAATTTTAAGGAGCTTCCAAATGAAGATTTAAAATTTTTATTTAACTTTCATTAAGATATCATCCTAAACTACTATTAACGATAAAAATTAAAAATATCATATGAGAACTCAGTTAATTATTGTTTTGAAAAGAAAATGACCTCACTCGAGAGAAGTTGTTCTGTTAAATATCCATATATATGCATTCCGGAAAAAAAGTTTTTAACAACAAAATGGTTGAAAACCGTAAATTTTACGGTCATTTGCTTTGTAAAATAACTCACAGAATCTGAATATGAGGTCAAAAATAAAAAAAGAATAGGTTTTAAGAATTTGCGAAATTATTGTTTTTTTTTTCAAATTGAGAAAACAGAATTTTAAATTTTTTTCCAAAAATATCCGGTTTTGATTATCACAAAAAGCTCTCCACCAGATTAAAGGTATTCGAAATCCCTATAAACTTGCTATACAATGGGCCTCAGCATAAAAAATACCTAAGCTCCGATTCGATTTTCAGTACAAATTCTTGAGTTTTAATTCACTTGATCAATGCGAATATTGAGTCTGAGCTTAAGCTCACTTTTTATACATGAGGCCCATTTTAAGTCGCATCGATATTCTACTGTGACTTACACCTAAAAGCCGAAAATTTGTTGTTCTTATTTTTACGCTATATTAAAGCTTATTTAAGTTAAAAGTATATAGATCCAAATCTTTTGCAAATCGGTTTGAAAATAGCAAAGTTATAGCAAATTTAGTAAATGATAATGGATTCAAGCAACGTATCGATTTGTACAGCACATTTGATAGTAAAATCTATATAAATATCATTTCCATGGGTATGATTATGCACATCGCAATTAGAAAAACAGCTGACAATAGTTTTGTTTTATTAAGCAATACTTTGTTATGTTTTGTAACAATTGTTACGAATTATCATGCCTTGGCTGTCAAAAAAGCTGATAAAATAAGATAAATAAGGGTTGTGCACTCGCACAAATTTTCTAATTTTTTACATTTACTTACATTGTAAATAATTAGTGGAATTCGCGCTTCTGTGTATTTGCTGTATCCTGCATAAGTGTAACTGGTCGAGCGTGTGGTTGTTGTTGCATGTGTATTTGATGTACCGCTAGCAACAACAAATCACATGCTCATGCACTTACAATTACACAACATACAACGAATACACAGAAGAGCGAATTCCCCTATTAAAAATACTGTAAATTACTGTAAAATGTTGTAAACAATTGCACAATAATCAAGCAATTGTAAATTGTAAATTATTTACATTGTTTACAATTATTTACAATAATTTACATGTAAAGAATTATTGTAAATAATGTAAACTAGTTTATTACTACTCCATGGTCTAAAAAATTTGCGTATTTCTTTATTCTAAAAACAACATTCATTACTTTTGGTAGTTAACCTTAACTTGGCATTTGGGGAAGATAGTACTCTACTCAATACGCCATGCGTTAAGCAATCCTCTTGCTAGGGTCTGACCTTTAGACTTATTTATTGTTATTGCGAACGCTACAATAATTTTAAATTGGCGACGTTTAAATACAAAAGCAAGCAAGAATTCGCTGGGCTGTTAATTAAATGGGATAGTATAATTCGAATCACATGTTTAAAGTCCATTAACTAACCCTTTATATGTACATTAGCGTGGGCCGAAAATCCGCTTTCTTAGAATTTTGATTGGTAAATAGCAAAAATATGGTTCATTACGCTCTCAAATAAATCTGTGTGAAATGTGAAAATTTTTGGTCTATATCCTAGGCTCGCCCATGTTCAAGTACAAAAAAAATTTTTGAAGTGAAACTTCTTAGGCGGCGGTATCGCAAAAATGGAGAGTGAAATTTTTAAAACTGAAAACGTTACATGAGTGAGAAGGAAGATATAGGTAGTATAGGGAAGGGGAAAAAAGAAATAAAGCGACGCATGACGGGTACGAGTACCTACATATGTATATATGTATGTTAGAATGCACGTATGTATATGTATGTATGAACGAACTCATTGCGCATTTCAGCTCTGCCGCTACCAAGCAGCATATGTATAAATGATGCAAGCGTGCTTCGCGTAACTACATCCATTCGTACATATGTACATATGTTTGTCTGGATATATTTATGATGAAGCAAACGGGCTTCGTTGATGTACTGATGGGCATATGTATGTACTTTTGGACAGCAATGATTTTATGTATGTACATATGTTTGAATGGTTGTATATATTATTGTACGTACATATGTACATATTTTTGTGTATATGTATATATGCACATATGTAGTACAAACGAAAACAAATCTAATAAGCTGCTCGTTGATATAAATGCGAACTGTACTTATTGTCAAAAATTATGTGTTTGTTGTACATTTGTTCATGTTTGTCATTGTGCGTGTAATTTTCTAGAGTAGTTTTGGGCTCTCGCAATATCCTTGTATTAACTGGGTCCTTCGTTGGTATACTCTGATGAACATATGTGAAGATGATAGCAAGGCCAACTTATATAACTGCCCGTCTCCACAGGATAAAGTTTATATCTAGATACATATGTTAGAATATAAATAGCCAATGGAGACCGCTCATTGCTCTTCAAGAGCAATATATATCAGAGCTTATATCTTGCCATCTATTGCCGGCACAATAGACCTAAGGTCGTAGTGCATAGCCTCTAACAATCTAATCTAATCTATTGCCGGCAATTTGGTAGTTTGACAGCTACATTTTCATTTGCACGAAAACTTCGTGGATGCAACATCATTATTATTTTAATATAAAAGCAAAAATTGAGCTGTTTCCAGTTAAAATATTTGTAATTATGTACTTGGATTTAAAACAGCATATTTTCTAAATTTTTTAAGCGATTAAATCCGGCAAAATACATTTTCAAAGCTAGCTTACAAATGCTTATATCAAGTTTCACTTCTATCATGTGTACGGTGTTACACGCGTTTTTTATTTTAGCTAACTTCGATTTTCTATGAAAAAGGTCCATATACCAAATTATGTAGGACTAATACTATTGCAATTTTAGTAAAATAAAAAACGTGTGTAACACCGTACACATGATAGAAGTGAAACTTCTTAAAAAAGGTGTGAGTACCAGGTACCTACTCACGAAATTGGATGTGTAAACATATGATTGAGTTACATACAAAGGTTTGGTTAGAAATCAAACAATAATTTCATTTCATCTTATTAACTTTCTGATATACATATAATTTATTTATTAATTTTCCGGTAACGCCACCTTATATGAATTCGCGCGTCTAGCATCCATAGGACCGGGTTGTAATGGATGTAATTGTATGTTTAACAAATAAATGAAAATGTTTATAATGCAATCAATAGATCCAAGACACTAAGTAACGTACGCACTTTTGTTTGCAAAATGCATTTATTTAAGTTGAAAGAAGACAAATTCCTTTCTTCGGCATTTATTCTTACGCGCTTTCTATCTTCCAAGACGAATTCATATATTCTTATCACGAATTCATATATTCATGTGGTTGCAAGAGTATAAAAACATTAAATTACCTTAAAAATTAAAAGCATAAGTATCACATGTATGCGTAGTCCAATTCACGAAATCATTTCATCGATCTGCGTGCGGTATCTAAGTGCGGTATCCCTGCATTTTGTAAAAGCCATAAAGAAGCATAAACTGTATGAAAAAATGAAAGGCCGAAGTATACATGCCTTCTATAATTTTGACTTATATGTAATTTGGCAAGTCTTTTTGTAAACAACAAAAAATACACATTTTCATTTCTTTGCCAGCTTGGAAAATATAGGCTTATTTTTACTTAAATGTGATATAAACCTCATTAAAATGTTCTGTAATGCCTTGTTTTTAAGTTTGTTATCATAGTGCTTTGTATTTTTATTGTCCACTTTACGTGAGTTGCTTCTATTTAAAAAGTTCTAGTACAAAGAATTTCTTTGTTTTGAATTTGTTTGTTTATTGTTTTTAATTTCTAAAATTCATGTATGTGAATGGCGGAGTTGCCGCTTTCTCCTTTTCGGTGGGTTTTTATATTAAAAAGGCATCAAAATGGGAAAAAACCTCCTTGGTATCTCTGCATCTGTTAAACTTTTTATGGGAAGATGTATGAAAATCCAACTTGCTATAATTTCAAATGCTTAACAGTACCACAACAGTATGCTTACAGTATCTCACCATAATTTTTTATATGAAAAAATGTATTATATGCATCCCACTGAATCATTGAATTCCTCATTGGAACATGACTAATTTTATCGTATCAACAGTTCATATGACTTCATACCATGTAAATGCACCATAACGGACCTGCGCATTGCACAACCTCTTATTATATATAAACCTTGGCTTCTACCTGTATTTATGTGCCTTGCATATAAAGTAGCAAGCTTTCTGTACGCCTAAATTTGTTTGTAAAACTTTTTTTAAACTTTTTTGTAGATTCCTTCAAAAATCAAAAAAATAGAAATTTGGAAATTTAAAAATTTACACAAACAATTTGTGCATAGAAATAGAAAACTTGTTACTTCATACATATCGTCACCTGAAATGCAAAAAGTTATAACTAATGAAAAATCCAAAATTCATTTTTTGATTTATATGATGGATTTCAACGAATTACAACTCCCCACATCATTTTATGAAAAAAAAATAAATAAAATATTAGTCCCGACTTTTTTCATTTCATTTACGATGATGTTACATCTTTTTGCATTTCAGGTGTTGGAAAACATAAATATTGAATTGAATGATGAAAGCTGCTATACGCATAT